GTAACTTCTGAATTTCGAGTGAAAGAAGAAATTAAAATCAAGAAGAAGAATTCAATTTTGTGTGAGAGTAAAAATATTACGAAAGAAGTTTCGTCTCGTTTTTCTTTTCGAGTTTTCAATCAAAATATTGAACAATTTTGTTCAAACAGAAAAAGAAGATCATTCAATGACAATAAATAAAGAGAATTTTAGTCAATAATTATTCTTTTTATGTTTGTTTTTTTTTCATTTTTCTTTCAGCGAATTAGGAAAAGAATTTTCAAGAAAAAATGCCAGCCAAATATTCCACTTTCGGTCAATTTTTGACCCAATTGACTTGAGTCCTTAAGCAAAAATCAGTTGAAAAGGAAAAATCGTCAAAAAATCATATTTATTAAATATGAATAAAAGGGAAGAAAAAAAATAAAAACTAAAATCCAAATCACCTTCATCGGTCGCTCATTCAGTTTGATCGTTAGCTTTTCAATGAATGCCGGTTTGATTGGAGCCTCACAATCATCTAACGTGTATGATTTCAGAATCTGAAAAAAAACAGAATTATTTCAACGATTTTTTTTCGCATCAAATTTTCATTCTTGATGTTTGTGTTTTGATTTTCGTACCAAATTTTAACGAATTTTCCATCAATTTTTTAATTTTTTATTTTTAAATTGAGTAATTTTTTACCAATAACATTTTGGTCAATAAAAAAATTCTCAATCAATTTTAAAAGAAACGTATCGAATCGTGATCAAAATTTGGTCGATTTCAAAAGGTGTTAAGATTCAATTCACAAAAAATTGTCCATTTCTTCTCGTAAATGGGAAGAATATCAATGAAAAATGTAATCAACAATTTTCATCCAGTTTTCAATTTTTTCATGGATTTGGTTCAATAAAAATGTCATTCAATTTTGTTCAACCTCACCTTGATTACTTGAGCAGTTGACAACGTTGAGCATATGTCTAAAATCACTTGAACATCTTGATCGGTTTCTTTCCTCGCTTGCAACAACGAAGCAACTTGAATTAGTGGTGTTAATCGAATAGCTCGGTGATTTCGTTGCTCTGCAAAAATTCCAACAGATTAGTTTAAATTCATCCGAAAAAATGATTGAAAAATAATTAAAAAAAAAAAAAAAAAATATTTAAAAACTAATGAAAATTGAAAAGAATGTGAAATCCAAACCATTTTCATTTTGCGTGCGCATTCCTCCTCCAGACAGCTTATGTTGTACCGTATTCTCATACCAGTTTTCCACATGAACAGCTCTCGTCGCAGCATGAGATTGTTCAATGATATGGCACAAATGTAGTAGAAGAATTGCTTGAAAATTTGATCGATGAAAATGTCATCCAAACCAAAGATCTTAAACAACTCATAAAAGTGGTCCAATTGATTGACCAACGATCGTGACTCGTAGAAAACGCCTAAAACACGTTTGCCTATTGTGGGGAGACAAAAAAAGAATTGATGTAAATAAGTCGGTATATGGATTTTTGATGGCAAATTAAAAAGAAAAAATGACTCGCCTTTTTGTTTTCCGCGTGCCATTTCATCATAGTCCAAAATGGCGGGAACAATGTGCACTTTAATAATTTCCTGAATCTGTTGGATGATTTGCTGATGCGATACGATGATTGTGGAGAAGATCACTTGTCTATACTCGGACAGATCGAAATTTTTCAACTGCTCCTCCAATCCACCGTATTGCTTCAAGAGGTTCAGAAGTCTGTGAAGAAAATATTCCCATTAATTTGGCTCTATTTAAATGAATTTTAATTAATTGAATAAATCCAGTTAGTTTTGGAATTACTGTACTCTCGGCGAGAGCGTACTCAGGAGCTCGCGCTACCGTTTTTCATATTTTTTCAATCGTCTTAATTAATTTTCCCCTTCTTCCTTTTTTTTTTAAACTTGGGCTTACTCTGGATTAAATTTCAAGACTTTTTTCGAAGCACTGTGGCTGATTTTTGAGCCAATCGATCCAATTTGGATTTTAAATTGGCTTTGAGTGTAGAACAATGTACCTTTTGCAAGAAAAAAGACTCACTTGATCATATTGACTAGCCACATGGCGCGATGTTCCGTGGTATGTTTATCATGTCGTGTGATTTTTGTTCATGTAATGTATCGTTATGTTTGTGTCTAATTGGTGTCGTATTGGTGCCTGTTTTTGTATTGTAAGTGCTATTTCAACCCATTGACACGCATACTGGTCTTTTCATTTGGACACGCGGTTCAGTAGAGAAAAAATATTGGACGACATCACTTGAAAGAATTATTTATATTTGAAATTGTTTAGAAAATTTGAATTACGGATTTTGTTGAAATCATTAAAACTTTGGTTAATTAAATTGTCGATCGATTCTGCTTGTGTGCAAAATTTTTGTGTCCAGCTAAATTCCACTTGAGTGCGATAGAAAAAAACACCGAAATTGATGACAAAGGAGACGACGACGACAAAAACAAGCAAGAATTTGAGGTGAGAAATAAAATATGAGACGTTTTTTTCTACCTTTCGTGATAACTTCAATTGGAGATATGAACTGCTGAGGTTATGCTTCCTGAAAAATCAGCAGTTCATATGTATACATACAGTTCACAGTGTTTGGCCTCTTGTTGATTTAGTTTTGTTTGCTAGAATACTTCCGAATTTTCATATTTCCATTCAACCAATGAAAACCAACCGCATTGGAACATTTTAAATAGAACAAATAAATAGTCTGCAACTGTTCATTTGTTGTTTTTCTGGTTTTTTTTTTTTGTCAGGAAAAGTTTGAACTCGAATTGTCCAAAATGAGTCAACAAAGAAATGGCCAAGCATTGAAACGGTACTTCCAGGAAGAAGAAGGAGGAGAAGAAGGATGTTCGAAGCAAGTGAAACCTAATGAATCGTCTTCAAACGTGGATCGAAAAAAATTAACTTATATTCCCCAAGATTGTTTGCTAGAAATCTTCGAATATTTAAACTTAGACGAGCTATTAATTATCGCGAATAGAAACCAATATCTTAAAGAAGCGACTTATCGAGTATTTTCTCGTCAGTTTAGAAAAATCAAATTTGAAATATGCGTTACGAGAGCCAATCGATTGATCCCATTGCAATTAATAGACGATTCCATAAAAGTATATGACTTAAGAAGTGCCATGTCTTTACTTCGTAACTATGGCAGCCTCATTGAGATTTTGTCAATTAGAAATAGTTCGATCAATATTGAATTCTCCATCAAGGCAATGGATTATGCAAGAGAATATTGCAGTCAAGGTGCGGAAATAACACGAAAATTCAAAAATACCGGGTATTTTAGTTACAAAATGAACTCCAAATTACATTGATTTGCTATAGAGTTTGTGGCGCCACCGTCGGTTTTACTACACAAAACATCACATTTTTGCCGCAACATGATTGCAGTACAATAGTCGAATTATCATTCACGACCACATCGAAAAAAGAATTCAAACAATTTGGATCCAGTGACACTGCCATATCATTTCCAGAAATGAAAAGACTGTCACTTTTTGGTGAATGTACGATGTATCGGCCATTCGAAACAGAATTCCCCACATTAGAAAAATTAATTATTGATGATAAAATGTTATTTCCAGAAAACTTAGGGAACATACTCGAAAAAAATAAGCAATTAAAATGTGTTGAGATGAATATAAACAAATATTTGCCTTCGAGACGTCTTCGGCAAGCTAGCAAACATTTGCAAAAAATCAACGAACTTACTTTTAAAAATTATGTATCAACTGATGAAATTTGCTTTCAGTCCGTCTCAAAATTGAATATGATTTGGCATGGTGGTCTCAAGTTAATGCAAGCTCCAAACATTAAACTATCGTTTGACTTTATCGAAGAGCTATTTATGGACCTGAGAGAATTTAAAAAACTTGATGCCGTAGGCACATTCCTTCGGCCATTCGAGTTAAATAAACTAACTATTCGTTCGAAAGTAGACATCGAGAGAAAATTCTTCTTGAATTTGGCTCCAAATTTATCCGTTAAGGATATATCATTTACGGATATTCAACTCTCATATGATCAAATAAGTGAATATCTCGGTGAAAACTCTAAAACACAAACGTTCATGTGCAAATATTTTGATGTAAATGAATTTCAACCTGATCAATTATTCGAAACTACAAAGAAAACCTATTGGAAAATAGAAATAATAGAACAACATATTGTACTCAAACGCTCAAGCTAAAATAATGTTTTTACGTGACGAATTGATTAAAGTAATAGAAATCGTTTGATGGTATCATTGTTATAAGAACATTCTTTCAACATTTTACTTTCCGAACGTTTTACATCAATCGAAATAAAAAACCTTTTTAGAACGCGGTTATATTTGTCGAAGAAGCCCAATGATTTATAATAATATAACCGAGAAAATGAAATGAAAAATTGAAGTTGTTTTTATTCTTCCATTCATTTGTTCATAACGAAGGTTTTCTATTCGCATTAGCATGTACTGGCTAACATAAAAATGGTCGAAGTGGTCTGTTATTCAACCCAAAGTTCAAGCAGTACTTTTTGCAGATGTCAAACACACGGTAGATTCAAACTCAAACTAAAAGTCTCGAGTTTTTTACATGCACCTCTCTCATTTATTCGAGCTTATAAATATTTCAGCTTGGACACTTCACATTGACACGAATGCAATCTGATACACACGATGACAATCATTGGTGAATGTATAAAATATTTTTACACAATTTGTGTCCAAAATAATCTCAAAATCGTTTGAAAAATAACTTCTTTTTTCAGTTTGGTATCAACCAACGACTTGATCGAAACAGATGAAGGAACGGTTCACCAAATCGACAATTTAAATGCCAATGATAGCTTCAATCAGGGAATCGTCATCGAGATTGTTCAAAATCAAAACGATTCCACAAATTTTAGTCACAAAGCAAGCGGTCAAGAGACAGAAGAAGTAGAGACAGTTAACTTTAGCAAAAGTGGCGAAGACAATGCCAAAGATCGAATAAAGAAAGACGTTGACATCAAACCGAAAGAGTGAATTGAATGGTGATATTCCGGTGGTCTTCATTAAAGTGAAACGAGTAGTCGTCGCTCCATCAAACAAGCAAGAAGTTTCCCGCGAAGCAATTGAACCCGTGAGCATAGAAACGAATTACAAAAAAAAAAATCGCCGATCAAAACGTAACATAGATTTGTCGGCGTAACATACCAGTGTACAATTTGTTCCGAATTGAACGAGTAACAAATATGTGTTTCGCTTTGTTCGGCGACATTTTTATAAGTCGTTTTTATGCGCACGGGTTCAAATTATGTGCATGTCACATTGACTAGATCGGCCAATACAAATTTGTCCCCGGGTTCAAACCTTCTGAAAAACACAACGGAAACCAAAGCAAACAAACTACACCGACAGAATCGAAGCTGAAAAAACAATTCGGATGCACTGTTTGTGAATATTCCAGTAATTACTCCGGGACTTTGAACAGACATATATATGTGAACACACCAAACAATGCGGTATCGCCTAGACATATCCATTGGATATTTCTGCTAGACGGCATATTTTGTTGCGTTTGAACAAACGCTTCGTTAAACAGTGAGGGTGTCGCGCGTGACATACACAGAACAGAGTGCATTTGAGGACGCTACCATTTGTGTGCCCGCTGTTCGTATGTGTTCAAAGACTTGATCGCTCATGTATTTGTATTTGCGACGCCTCCTCAAATGCGCTCTGTTCTATGTATGTCGCGCGCGACACCGTTACTGTGTAACGAAGCGTTTGTATAAACGCAACAAAATATGCCGTCTAGCAGAAATATCCAATGGATATATCTAGGCGATACCGCATTGTTTGTACAAAAGCGATTTGGAGTTGGTACATATTCTGGGCCTTTCAAGTCAGTGTTTCAATTTCCTATGCACAGTCAATTATTGCAACGACGACTGTTGCTTTTACATAAAAGCCATTATTATCATTATTTCATCCGATCAAATGCCGAGGGCAACGAAGGTATCACGTATTAACAAAGCTATGAGCGAAGTGATTGCAGTATCAAGGAATAAATTCATGAAGCCCTTGAAGTGCATGTCGAATTACATGACTGAGTTGTTACAATATGAAACCTCCCGTGTGGAAAATTTTTGACTGACTATTCAGTCGATTAATTTGGGACATTTTGACTGACTAAAAGTCATTGTCTCGAACAAAATAAGCAACTGCAGTTAACTTTAATCACAAATCACTCTTAGTCAAAATGTCCCAAATTAGTCGACTGACTGAAAGAATAACTAAACGTGATTGTCTCCATACAAAACGCATGATTTCAATCAACTTAGCCAGTTTTAGTTGTGTATCACTACATACAGTTACATACAACTGAGTGACTGTTAGTCATTTTATTTGCACACGGGCTACTATTTGCAACACTTTTTCGTCAAATCTAGTTTCGCTTTTCGAATTTTGTTGCTTCCGAATTTTTCTTCACTCTTTATTTCAATAGAGTATCGAAAATGGTGGCCGATATCAGCAGCGGACCAATATTCTCACTTCTTCCTGTAGTTGCAATCTACAATGTTGAGCACCTAAATATATTTCATTTTCAGCATATTTGGTTCTCTTTCTTAAAATTAGCAATTCTAATGCGACACAAATTATTTTGATTTTATTCCATTAGTTTTTATTATCCTCGAACATGTCCATTCAGATGATTATCTATTTACAAGCAGAGAATGGTATTTGATGGATTTCTTTTTTTTTGTGTGAAATAATCTAAAGGGATCTCTAGTCCGCATCCATTCAATTTTTAACTTATTACTCTATGTATTCAAAAATTCGTTTTTGCTGCGCTTTGAATAAAAAGTCAATTAGCTACTTGTCCACCGCCCAATTTATGCGTTTTATTTAGAATCAAAACAAACATGTCTACATTGTCTATTCACGGAAACAATTGAAGAATTTTAACAATTTCCAATGGAAATTGCGTGTATGCTCAAAAACCCGTTGGCCGAAAAACCCGAATTGGCTAGAACATAAGTGTTTCTTTCGATTGTGCTACTTTTAATCTACAAATTGATTGTGTATCACACACTTAAATGAAATGGTTAGGTAATGTAGTCGAATTTTGGTCATGTATTGGGTCGAAGTTGTCCAGATACTTCTAAATCAATCGATCAATATAACCACCGTCGAAATGGAATCATTCGCGAAAATCAGTACGGGGCAAGACTACAATTGCTTAATAACATCAGATCGATTTTTTCTACATTCGAAATTACATCTACAACATATGTTCTTCGAACTATTTCTTAAATTGTGAGTCATTGGCACGGGTGCACATTTTTGATTTTATATCATTTTCCACGGAAATATTCCTGCTGATTAGTTTTTCGGTAAATGCAAGTGGCATTCTTTGGAATGAAAATCGATCTATTGTAAAATGCAGCAACCTTTAAGCTATAATGACTTAAATTGTTGACATTCATTATTTATTTATTCCCCATTTTGCCTTCGGGTTAGCCATCAAGCGAATGCAACTCCTTGCAAACTGAAATGTATGTAAATTTTTTATGATTCATCGACGTATGTTGTTATTTGCAGCGAAAATTTGCTTGCGAAAATTCAAGAAAAAGCCAAAACATTGATTTTGCGTATAAACATGACAGATATATTTCGGAGGCTAAATTGGAACAGAAACAAAGTGAACGGTTTACAATCGAAGAACGTTAAATGAAATGCGTTGTGGTAAAAAGTGCTTCGAGTTTCTACGAAATAAAAGAACGATATTGAGTCAGGATGAATACATTCAATAGTTGTCTAATGGCTATACATTTTATGAGTGTTTCTTTTCTTTAATTCTATTCTATTTTTATGACCACTGAAAACTGGCCCACTCAAATGAGCTGCTTTATCCCATTTAATCCGGAAATTCCCATATGCATGCATGTCTTTCGTGTTCATTGTTCAAATTTGTAATTTTCTATGGTGTTGCATCTTCGATATTTTGCATATTGACGTATGCAAGTTGACATCGATCCTCGAAACATGTGTGAGCAATTGGATGCTTTGGCTTCATCTTCGGGAATTTCCTAACGGATCTTTTGCTTTCTCAATGAATCTCACTTATAATTTTCTTTACCACCCCTTAATTATTAGCTATGCTCTTTGCATTGGTCAATAGATATTTAAAGTGCGAGACAGTGAATCTTATGATTATGCAGTTTAACAATATTCAGTCAGAATGTTTTGAAATATTGCCGAGCTAACATCTTTTTCAACTGATTGTTTGAACATAAAAAGTTATTGAAAGTGATATCTTTCTAGCAAATAAAATAAAATAAGTGTCAATTGAGATTGAATTTAAGTTCAACGGCTTTTCATAGTTGAAACTTAATCAGAATAAACGGCGCAAATTCGAAAATAAACCAAAATCGCGTATATTCAATATTTGTTATCGTCATTATTTCAGTTTAGATAAACATGGCAAATGATTGGCGAATTGAAATGAACAAAATGCTTGCAACATTCGATCCTCAAACAACGTACTTTTTATGTTCCATGAAAATTGCGTTCAAGCGAAGAGGAATGTCATTCACTGAAGAATTCGAGCAGTATTTCCTGCAGGCTTCAAACAATAGGTAAGTTTCACGAGAGAATCTAGTGTGTAAATTCAATAGCAATTCCTATTCTCAGTTTGGTTTGCTATGCACTTCTTAAACATTTTTTTTCATCTTTTTCAGCATAAAACGCGCATATGACCAATTCAAAATGAACTTATTGTTGGGAGTCAACTGAACGTCGACCTGAATTCAGATGCAAAGGCATTTGCAGATGCAAAGATGCTGCAGAAATCATACGCTAAGAACGCAACTGTGGTTGAGACTCAAAAGCAGATGGCCAGTCGTATCGACGAATCAATTTTTATCAGACAAACCAACAATGTCAATGCTGAGGTCAGAATTAACGAAGTTTCCGATATGGAAGTTACTGAATCAAATTAACCACACGAAAATGTCCCAAATCAAAAGGATTCAGCAAATTTTGCTAGAGTAGCCGTTGCTTCAGAGCATTCGACTACAATAACACTGTCTGAACAAGCAAAAATCGAACGCAAACTTAGGTCGATTAAACGCAGGTTCCGTTGCAACCGCTGCTTCCGTGGATTTTCATTAAAGGACGAGATAGTAGCCCATGAATTGAAGAATTGCTTAGAGATAATCACTGCGAAAAACTTACCACTTTGAAGAAAACTCACTTGTAAATCGACATGGAGAAAAACCGTTCCGTTATAACATTTTACCGCATAAGTATCGAATAATTTTTTTTTGATTATAATAAGTTTTTAACCCTTTTCATTTCTTTTTCCTTCGTCTAATTTGTTCCGGTTTATATTTTGAAGTAAAGATGTAAAAAATAGTAGAAAACGCAAAGTGACGGAAAGAATTGTCATTAATAATATAAATGAGTACTGGAACAAACACGAAAAATCCCTGGCGAAAGATTATAATCTAAAACGAGACATCGATCAAATCCTGGAAGTCATTTTAATATCAGCAGTGTTCGATACAGTATTGAATGGATGTGCCACTATCATACATTGGTCACGACCATGATCTCTGAAATGTTGGAATTTACGAATCCACTTTTTCTCTCCAGTTTCACCATCATAACTATGAAATTTTGCATTTTTCATTCCCGTTGGCCAACACGTATCCAAATGTGAGGTTTTCTACAGAAACGAAAAAAAAAACAATATCAAGTCTGATAACTGTACATTTTATGAGTTTTAAAATATAAATCCTGTATATTATGTGTGTCTCTTCTTTTTAATCCTATTCCATTTTTATGACCTCTGCCTACTGATTCACTCAAATGAGCCGCCTTACCTTATTTCTTTTGAAAAATCCCATATGTATGCATGTGACATACAGCATGTCTCTTTTTTATCCAGTAATTTTTTTTATGGTGTTGGTATCTACGGTTATTTGCATGCAAATGTTTCTATGCGTTCATATCTCAAGTTGATATCGTTTGTCAAAACATTTGCTTGGGATTTATCTCCGGGAATTTCCAAACGGATCTTTTCTTATCTCAGTGGTTCACTATAATATTTCAAATAACGTTCTTTCATAATCGCTTGCCACGTTGCCAAAACTAGCAGCTTCATTTTTTTCGCATCTAATTCAGTATTTCGTGTGCCAAATCCATTGGTATTATCGCCACATTGAAATACGCATTACTTATCAATATAATATAATTTTGAAACAGACTGCATCATACCCGAAATTAGTTTTAAAGAGAAACAGCGCTAACTTGAGGAACAAAGTGTCACAAAGCAAGTTTTGGCTTTTAATTGCAACATGATTCGTTATGTTGTACTTTGTTTTTCCCATTTGCACTTTGTTCAGCTATTTTCACACATTTACTTTTCTTTACCTCTCCTAATCCAATATGCTATTTGCATTGGTCAATCCATACTTTAAGCGGGAGACAGTGAACCTTATAACTATGCAGCTTATTTAAAATGTCGACATTTTCAACTCAGAATGCCTCGAAATTTCGTCGAGTCAACATCTTTTTCAATAGTGTTCAAATAAAAACTAAAAAATATTTCAAGTGAATTGCTTACGTTGCTAACGAATAAAATAAAATCGGTTACGAGTTGGCAATTGAAATCACATTTGAGTTCAATAGTATAGTTGATCACAGAAACGACGTAAATTACTCATAATTTCCGAAATAAAAGCAAAATCACGTTCGTTCTATTTTTATTGTTAATTGAATTCCGATTCTATTTTTATTGTTAATTGAATTCCGATAAACATGGCAAATGATTGGCGGCTTGAAATGAACAGATTGCTTACAGCATTCGAACGTCAAACAACATACTTTTTATGTGTCATGAAAAATGTGTTCAAGCTAAGCGGAATGTTACTCACTGAAGAATTCGAACAGTATTTCATGCAGGCTATAAACAATAGGTAGGTTTGACATAAGAATCATGTGTGCAGACGCACTTGATATTTGATAACCATTAGGGTGGTCCAAACTGATTTATCATGGTAAGGTATATGCTCCCAATAGCTTAAAATTAAATTGGGCTCAAAACTAGCTGATTTCCTTTTTCAGATAAAAAAAAGTTAGGATCTAGTGGACGATAGAGCCGTCCTTAAAATGGCTGTTTTTGACCTATTTTTTAGGATTTTTTGAAACGCCAAACACGAATCCGTTGTCAAAAATTAGCTAATATTGCTTTTCAAAAAAGTTTTAGTACAAAAACATGTTTTTTTAAACCAATTCAGCCATATAGCAAAAATACATGGTTCCAAGTGTATTTTTAACACCAAATTTGAACTCACCGCCTCAAAATACCTTAAGATTGACTATGCTGATGACAAAAATCGAATTATCTTAGAACTAAAATTGTCTAGTAGTGTTCACGTATCGAAAAAATCACATTTTCCACGTATTTTTCCACCAAAAGTAAATTTTGGTTCAAAGTAGCCATTTTTATGGTTTTTTAGGCCGTAGAATTCGAATCCACCCAAGAAGAAATAACAAAATTTTCAGTGGGAAAAATTGATATATTTCTATACATTTATACGGATTTTTGCGTTTTTTCGGTTTTTCTCCCATAACTCGTACCCCATATGCGATGGAGCAGAACTTTGTTCAGTAAAGTTTTAAATCTCGCTGAAACTTATAATTTTGCCGCAGTTAGTCATCACTTATCTCCTATCAGTAAGGAGATAATGGCCTTGATAGCTTTTATCAATTATCACTGTTATCTCCTTATTGATAAGAGATAAGTGATGACTGTCTGCGGCAAAATTGTAGCTTCCGATGGGATCTAAAACTTCGTTGAACAAAATTTTGCTCCATCGCATATGGGGTACGAGTTATGGGAGAAAAACCGAAAAAATGCAAAAAAATCCGTATAAATGTATAGAAAAATATCAATTTTTCCCACTGCACATTCAGAGATGATTTGAGCCAAAGTGAGAGGTTTTAATTGAAACTGATGTTCGAGAGGTATAGCTCATTTTCGACGAGGAATCCAAAAATGCAATTGATTTGGGGTTGAAGAATGAGATTTACCTACTTTGGAGTGGTTTGTGTACTTTTTTCACTCTTTGACCTCTACCCTTCAAACTGGGTCAATATGGGAGGCCAACACTATGTGCCAATGAAATCTATGGGACCAGATGCAACTTTACCAATGCAGATTCGATTTGAATAACCAATGGGTTTTCTATCAATATACATATATGTTGAAAAATTGGTCAAAAACAGCCATTTTAAGTACGGCTCTATCGTCCACTAGATCTTAACATTTTTTTTATCTGAAAAAGGAAATCAGCTAGTTTTGAGCCCAATTTAATTTTAAGCTATTGGGAGCATACACCTTACCATGATAAATCAGTTTGGACCACCCTAATAACTATTCTCATTCACATTTAGTTTTGTTATGCGTTTCTTCATTTTCTTTTGTTCGTCTTTTTCAGCATAACAGGCGCATACTACCAATTCAAAATGAACTCAATGATGGAGAATCAACTAAACGTCGAACTAAATTCAGATGCAAACGTGCTACAGATGAGCTGCCAAATCAGCAGTGCTAGCGGTTACTTTGTGCCAACATTGGCTTTACCACAACGATTTCACGGACCACAAGTCACATCCTTGCGAAGCCAACCAAGATGGACAATGCTACAACCCGTGCACCAACATTCCTGTGCACAAGGTGCCGATGTCAAGGTATTGCACCCAGCTGCTGGTGGAAACCTAAATATCACCAGCGCTACAAACGCCCAATATCGTCAAGTACCAGCTGCTAGCGTACGACAACAAAACCAATGTGCACAAGCCGCAGAAATTCACAACCCAATCACCAGACAACAACAAGAGGTTCAGGTATGGGAGCAATTTCGATTTTTATCACCCTTCTTTCGGATGCATTTCATTGAAGAAAAATTTTCTCAAAAGCTGAACCGATTAAAAATCTGCATGTTTTCAACTTAACAGGGACAACCGATGCCATTAGGACCAGTGCCTCAGTACAAATACACAGCAAACATTCGCAATTCACCAACTCAAAATGTTGAAATGGTTTCACAAGCCGCTCCAGTCGAAGCTGAGAACGTCAATGGTAGATTTTTGCCTTTTTAAATTATTTTGTTGTACACTTCCATGAGAACCATCCATGATTTCTCTCTCATGCTTTGATCATTCAAACACAATTTCATTTTTATCATAACATCATTTGTACTAATAAAATGTCGTTATATCAGATCAAGAGCCATTGACTGCATCATTGTTGGCGGCTGTTCAACCAGCCGAACAGAAGCAAATGCTCGGCGAACGTTTGTTCCGAATCATCGAATCGATGTATCCACAATTGGCTGGTAAAATCACCGGTATGTTGTTGGAAAACGACTATTTGGAACTGTTGCACATACTTGAACACAACGAATCGCTGAAGAACAAAGTCGATGAAGCCATGGCCGTACTTCAAGCCCATCAAGCCAAGAAAGCTGACACATCTGACGAAAAATCGGAATAAATTCTATGAATGTTCGCAAGCCGAACAATAACTTTTTGCATCAACAACAGCCACAACAACAACAAGTTTTTCCTCTCTAAAATCAATTTTAAAGTCGCACTAAAATTCCATTCAATCAATTTTAAAATCGCAGTTGAAATGAAGCTATGGGATATATGAGGGGCTCAGAGGAAAAATGTTACGTAGAAAAGTTCCGCGGAAAAATATTCGGGAGCTAAATGGTATCATTTAGCACCGCTAAATGATATCATTTAGCTCACCTAAATGGTATCATTTAGCTTTAGCAGACCTAAATGGTATCATTTAGCTCTGCTAAATGGTATCATTTAGCTTTAGCAGAGCTAAATGGTATCATATTTAGGTGATACCATTTAGGTGAGCTAAATGATATCATTTAGCGGAGCTAAATGATACCATTTAGCTCTGCTAAAGCTAAATGATACCATTTAGGTGTGCTCCCGAATATTTTTCCGCGGAACTTTTCTACGTAACATTTTTCCTCTGAGCCCCTCATATGAATTCGAGACATTTTGTTCTTCAAAAAGAAAACAATCTCGGAACAAATTACCGCTATGATTCAATTGGTATAAATTATATTTATTATTATACTGTAGTAGTAATGCAAATAAAACTTGATAATAATACACCATTTTAATCATTTGTCTATAATTTTCTCATGCTCTTTGACTTAACCCTCAACTGCATGAATTTTTCCTAGGACTGGGAGTACTGGTATTTGGTTGATTTTTGGCCATAGATAACGAAAAAAATATTCATAATCCTAGATTTCCCATGGTTTTGTCAGGAAATGCGATAGAAATAAGTCAGAGAACAATGAAATCCATTGTTTAAAAGTGTCAAAAATATGTCTAATTTGGAAACCGAATAATTTATTTTGTCAAATTTTCGTTTTCGTGCACATTTTTGTTTATAACTCACCAATCGTACGACATAGACAAATGACGCCAAAGACAAAAATAAAGAAAAAACATTGACAAATAAAAATTCCCCTTGAAGCAATGTCATCCGCCGTACAATTCACATTATACAGGTATTTAAATGATGCCCGCCAAAAGGCGGGCTTATGCAGTTGAGGGTTAAATGAACCATATTTAATATTCAAACCAAAGAATATCTTTGCGTCATATGAAAAAAATAGTTTCCGTTTTTAATTTCAGTTTCCTCGATTAATATTTTGGAGGAAAAGAAATGTAATACATATGTTTTACATAAATAAATGAACACAGTAAAAAATAAAAGTCCACACTTAGGCGGATTTTCGACTGGTAGAGGCGCCCAGTCTTATATTTTGCCTAGTAAATTGAGTTTCAGACGAAAAACCGACTAGATTATAAGCGGAATTTCGCCTGCAGCTCAAATTACTAGCAGCAATATCGGCTGAATGCGTTTTTAGCTGAAAAAACGGCTAGATGTGGACTTTTATTTTTTACTGTGAAGTGAAGTGAAGTGATGATGTGATGTGAAGTGAATTTTACATAAATTTTTGAACAAAATCAGATACGAAGTGAAAAATAATCCAGGTGATCGATTTCAATTTAAAAATTTACGCATTGATTATTGTTTTGCTAATGGCACACCCTTTACCTCAGTCTTTCAATATGTTTGACTTGGATTGGAAAAGGAATCTGAAATTTTCTTATTGGTTCATTAAAAACCAAGTTTAAATGTTTTTATTTTCCAGAAACATGCTCTCTGTCATTTAAAGAAAAAATACATACAATTTAAAAAAAAAACCAAACGTATAAGCTTTTCCCACTTGAAATTCACACCGGCCAAAAAAGGTCAATAGATGGCGTTGCGACACAATGTTGAATTGTATGGTGAAAGAGCCATGACATTTACATTGGTAATGTCAAGCCATAGTAAACGAAAAGGAAACATACTTCATAGTTATTGTCATAATCGTCAAATAATGCATAGAAATTTGGTTGAACGCTAACATTAGTTTGTGTTTGGTGTTTGGTTATCGCCTTTTATTTGCCTGCGATATTTTTTGTTGTCGCGCATTCCATTGCATGTGATTGTTGTTCTAGATATAGAAAGTGCATTTATTCAAAATTCGTTTGTTTTTTTTTTTTAGTTTAGGCAAACCAAAAACCAATTTTAACATTCCATTGGATAGATATGAAATGAGCGGCGGAAAATCAACAGGTGACTATTTGATCTGTTTACTTTTGTTTCGCATTTCGTATGCACGAACATTGAATAAATCGCCATTGTAATTGTCACCTTTGGCCAATTTCTTCGGAAATCATAAATATAAATGTGAAACAACATTTTGTAAAATAAAAGATGATGCGATTTTTTTCTGTATCAATTGGAATAGACTGAATGTATGTGTCAAGTTGGAAGTGATGAATCGCCTGAGACCACTCGATAATTGATGTCAATTGACGTTTTCGTAAACTTATGAATTTGACTTTTAGTTTTAAGTTTCATTGTCTTTCGATTTCATTAAGTTTCAATCATTATTTTGTTGACGAAATTTATCGACGAAGAATCGACGACATTGGTCTCAGTTAAGCATATTTGAATGGCCGTAGTTCAAGTTTCAATGTATTTCCACTCAAATGAATGAGGTTTATATCATTTTCGATTCCACTCGAAATCTCCCAAAAACAAACCGAAAAGAAAAGAAAAACATTCAGAAACTATTGAAAATACCTGTCAAAGTGCAAAAATTCCATCATGCGTGAATGATGCCGAATGAATGCACAAAATGAAATGTGTGCTAACCAAAATTTGGAGATAAACAACAAAACACTCCAACGATGCCACTCTCAAGAGAGCGAGGAGAGAGACCACTCGAAATTGGCCCAAATTCAATCGCATTTTGTCGAACGAAAAAGTTTACTTTGAGTTTCGCTAATGGAAAATAGATATGTTGACGTTGCGCTAGCGATGTGTTGTGGTCACAAACAACAGCAAGCAATTGATACGCACTTCCATGTGCCCATGCTGTGTGTGTGTGTGTGTGTGCTACTCCTGATGCTGTCGTTGTTGTTGTTATCCACATCGTCTTCCAACAAAACTCCGTGCAAATATTCGAGTGCCGAGCATATTTTCCATATCATCGCATTGAGCAGCGAACAGGTATGGACGATTGTAAACAGCCGGGGACGTCGCATTCTTCATATAATCAGCATCCATGAAACACAACGGTAGATAAACGGTTTCCGAATATTCCCGCATTTAGTCACAAAACATTCAACGGACCAAGTTGACACCACTTTGCATAGCATCGTAATTGAACAAACCATCACAATCTCCAAGCGAACGATTTAGTTTAAGGTGGCAAAGTTTAAAGAAACATCACTTTTTTTCACTCACCTGTTTTTGTGTGTGCGGTGACAAATACGAAAATTGTTGTTTTTCTAAAGAAAATCGCCAAAGCAATTCGATTTTTCCAAAGACACCGGTGTAAATCATTTGATTCAGTTTGGTTATATGTGTTAGATTCCTATGTGAAATATGACTCGTTGGTGGTTATTTCAAAGTTGTAATCGTCTCAATACCAGAAATAGTGATGCAGTGTGTCATTTTAATGGGTGTCAAACCGGTAAAAAGAGAAGTTTACGTATTTTGTGGTTGCATACTGGACAACAATGATTTAATTTTGAATTGTGGCGATTGAATATTTCATGAAATATTTCCGCTCCCCACACAAACACGCATACACATAAACATAAGCCGCGCGATACACCGTTTTCATACAATGTTGAAACACAATGAAGATTGAATCAATTTTCAATTTAATTGAATAGTTCGGGATTCATTGTTGATTGAGTTAAAAAAAATATTTCGAATTTCCAAAGAGAGTCGCAACAATTTAAATTATTTTCAATTCGATTTTTTGTTACTCCAAACATCATGGCATTTGTGTGCAATATTTCCGGAAGAAAGAAATTTCTCGTTTGAATGAATTTAAAACAGATATTTTTGAGAGAAAAAAAAAACAAAACAAAAAACAAACTAAACTTGTCGACTCGATTTCAATTGCAGGAGCTGACGACGATAAAAAATCCACCATACCAGCATCATTGAACACAAATTTATCGGAGCAGTCAAATTACGCATCGCCGTCAAGTTCAAGAGTAGCGGCCACAACACAATCCACAGCAAAATCTAAACCAGGTATGTGCGTATCGGTTGAGGTTTATTGGACACAGTGAGTGTATTGTGTGTTTGCAAAGCGATGATATTTTAAAATAGGCGACCACCCGTCCACCTTCTACCAATGAATACTTCTGCCCCGATGACTTTTCCCGATTGATTAAATAAGTGTACACATTAAACATGGCGAAGCTTTTATACAAATTTGCACGCAGATTTAATCTGCGTTCGTATGGAATTGACATGCCGTATTGAAATCTCACACTCGCTCACTCACACTCACACACACACTCGGTTTTTTTATTCACTTCATTACAGTCCATTATCGATTGTTGATGATACTACTTGTTGTTGTTGTTGTTGTTGTTGTTGTTGCTAATTTTATTGATTGAAAATTTACATTTTCCAATTCACAACCAGCAGATCATTCGAATGTGATGTCGTCAGTATTAATTGCTGCAAAGAAGCTGTCAATACTTCTACAGCAAAATGGGAACATGGCACATCAACCCGATCCCTTTACGGCCAACATACTAAGCACATGGCTTCAACAACACTTACCGGTATGTTCTATTTTGGTTCATTATTTCATTCGATTAATGTTGCTGCTGCCGCTGCTACTGTCGCTAATATTGCTATTTTCCTGGTAGAATACATGGAACCGTGTGTATGCATTTACTCTCTCACGAATTTAATTAAAAATGAATCAGGAAATGTCTTCGTTTTCTTTTCCACACTTTTTCTCCAGCTAGAAATTTTTTCTCTGTGAGTCGTCACATTATTAGTCATTTTGATGATGAAACACACAAATTTGCCAATGAAAATCCACTTTTATACAAAAGATTTTTGTTCGCATGACGTTCAAACGGAAATCTTTATGAAGAATTCGTTTTTTCATGTTTTTTTTGTTGTTCCGAGATAAAAATCACGATTCGGAGAACTTTGACTACCAACAAATAATTTAGCAAGAACAAACGGAACAATTATTTTGCACGAAATGCCAACTTTGTTAAGAAATGGCATTTTTGGAAAAAGAGAGAGCGAAAGAGAGACAGGGAGAGAGGGAAGAGAGATAGAGACAGAAAAGGAAAAAATTTAAGGGAGATAGAAATAAAAAGAAAAGAAGGGAGATACAGAAGCAGAGAAGAACAAAAATGTATAAAAAAAAAACATCCAAATATTCGACCAACTCTCCAAGCTTGAACCGACACATACACACAATGTTTTTGTTCAGATGAAATTATGATGTACTAAAACACCTTGTTTATGTGATATATATTTTCCGAACTCAAAACAAAAGATACACGATACTAACTATATGGAGCAAAGGCAACGGAAATGAACTGTACTTCGCATAGAAAGAAAGTGTACGCCGAAATTATCTTAAAATAAAACACATGTACTACATTGATTTGCATCTACGGTCTTTGGCTAGAGAAGAAGCAAGCGAGGGAGAGAAAGAAGAAGCGCGAGGGACAGAGAGAGAGAGAGAGAGGGAGTTCGCTAGATAGAAAACTGGAGAAAAGAGAAAGAAGATAGCAAAAACCAAAAAGAAGTTGTATCTCGGTTCGAATGCAGAAAGAGAAAGAGATTCTCGATTTCGCTGGATATATCAAATGGCAATGCCGTTTGCTATAAGACAAAAACAAATCACTGCCGTTCGGCGTTTTCGAACTGACGTTGAAACAAGAGAAAAAAAAAACACACTAATCATAAACAGCACATGTGTTTTACATATCTTACAAGCGGTCGGTTTGTTCGTATAAATATAGACTGTGCACAGTCTGCGTGAAATGGGTGTGATTTATGGATAAGGCTGTATGTTTACTTTGTATGGATCAACAGTTAGACACACACAAACACACACACACATTCACAGGAAGAGACAGACTCCCTGCCACAATGTATACAATTTGATCCGTGATTTTTAGATCAACAACGGCGAAGAAGAAGCGAACAGAGAAAAAAAAACGACCGAATCATGTCATCGATTTTCGAAGAGAAGTAAAAGTTTTCCTTTATCAGAATATTAAAAAGTTTCTGACATGAACAAACTGTCAAACTACCTTCTCTTAGCTACTCGCTGCTCATTTTGTGTTAGCACATCTAAAAATAATTCATGAATTTTCATTTATAATGAGTGCTGTTGCGCTCGCATAGACCACATCAAATTAATTTTCCATACACAACATATGCAAGTGAGAGAACAGAAGCAACGAAACGGCACAGCGTGAGACATAACAAATGAGAAGAAGAAAAATATTTCGGAAAAAACATCATACATACGCGCTATAGGCGCACACACACATACAGCGAGAAAGACCGAAAAATGATCTTATTTAAAGAGAAGCTGCAATCAGTTTACAAACGTAAACCAAGTCAATCGGTTAGTTTTCAGCGGAAAGTCGGCTTAAATCGTCACATCAAAACAATTTGTTTGTTTGTTTTGGTTCTTTATTTTTGCAGGAATATTCTCCAGTTTTGAAGATAGATTCCGTTTTCAGCTGGATAATTCTGATTTAAATTGGAGTAAATTTTGTTCCAGTTTTTCCCTTGAAAAAAATCATTGGCAGCATTTTTTTGTTAGTTTTCATTTTTCTTTCATTTCATCGATTTTCAAAGTCGGCACAATTCCATTGGAATAACTCTTTTGTGCTAAAATTAAATCATTTTTTTTTCTTGAATGAGTGAAATATTGAAAAGTTTTTTTTGTGAAAATAATGATTTGGCCAATTTCAAGTGTAACATTTATTGAAATTGACTGAAGTGGAACAAAAAGGTTGCTGAATAAAGAAGATATACGCGTTTACATGTAAACAGATACACAGGATTCAATTTGTTATATATATGTATATATATTGTCGTGCGATGTTGCTTCTCTCGCTCTCTCACTCTCAATGACGAGGGAATATAAATAAATATAGCATATATGTGCGATACGTGTCGTGTTTTGATTCATTGAAAAAAAAATTTGTCAAAACTGAATAGAGTATGTTAGTTTCAGCGTTGTAAATTCTTGTGCTTGTGAAAACAAAGACGAATACACACGCACGCACACACACACACATATTCTGATTTTCGAAACAATAAAAATCGAGTCAAAATTGAGCGCAGCCAAAAATATATAAGTTTCTCTGGTGACCCATAAAATTGCTGAGTTTGCCACAAAAGTTGATAAAAAAAAAACGGAGAAAAGGGAAAATGAAACCGCCACAAAAAGAGCTGATCGCTGATGGGAATAGGCAAAAACCTCCACGGTCCAAATCGGTGCCGAGCACAACATCATCGGATGCGTGCACATTGTTGGGCGATGTTGACGATGAAATCAGCACATCGGCCAGTGAATCGTATCCACAAGAAGAGTCGAGCTCAAATGAAGGTAATGTGAAATTCTACCGATGAAAAACCAGTTCCATTAATTCGGACACCGTAAAAAAAAAATCAATCATAATCGAGAATATTCTATGAATTTCAGTAGTCATACTTTCAATGTGATGGGTAACATTGTCAATCCATTTTAGAACGATGAATGAAAATATCAATGAAAATACTTTAGAATAAACTAGTTCTCCATTTTAGAATAAACTAGTTCACTTTTTCGGAAGCATCATAGTTTCAAGTTTTGTAGTAAAATAGAATTGATTTAGGTTCTCTCCCGTTTTTTTTTCTTCAAATATCGGTCTATCGGAATAAAAAGTTGAAAATTGAACTAATGCATCATAATAAAAAGAAACAATCCACCAAATTGTCTTATTGTGGTGTTAATTTCTAGATTCGATTTTGTTCATCGATCAAGACGATGAGGCCGACAAATGTTTTGTGAAAGATAAATCACACGAAAATGAATCGTTAACGACGTCAGTGTCGGACAATACATTTTACGATACTGACGGTGCAAGTAATTTTTTAAAACGATCACAACGTCATTGCAATGATTCGAATGTAGCTCGAATGATTGGTCGCAAAATTGATGAACACGATTACGCGCACACATTTCTAATGTCCGACTGGGCATCGACGACGGCTGAAGACACTTCATTTTATGATGATCGAAGTAGTGCGCTCAAATCACTAGTTGGCTCCGAATTTCGTTCTCCGATCACTTCGAATAAATCGAGTCGCGGTGCGTATCTCTCTACCATACACATAGACTGTTGCCCCCATACACTTTTTGCTTTGAACACCAAATTCATGCTCACAAACAATAATCGAATGGCACTCATCATCAAAACATGGAATTTTGCAACAAACACTATCTTCTCTTGTAATAATTTTAATTCTCTCTCTCTCTCTCTCACACACGCACACATCATATCTCCAAAATAATTGGGAGGACATATATTTTACGCTTCATTCTCATGTGTTTTGAATTCACAAGATTGGTTTTGCTTCAGTCTTAACTTAAGACTCTTAAGATTTCGACTAAAAACAAAAATTGTGAAATAAAAAAATTCAGTTCCAACACTTCATTGGGTTCCAACAGATAATTCAACGTGTTGTGATGAGGATTTCACTTGGGTGTGCAATCAAAAGGAAAAAATTGAAATGAGCCCCACACAAAATGCACACCCATCAAAGGCGACTGTGAAGCATTCCGCAGGAAATACAGATGATGCCGATGGAAAAAATAGTAACCAAAAACGTGGCAGACATTTGAGACCGTCGGGTAGCTTAGACCGGCGCCGCATTCACAGTCGAAATCGACAAGAACGGGATAGCAAAAGTCGTAGTGCACATTCGCTGCAGGAATCATCGGCCACATCGACTACTGACTATGCATCGCCTGAACATATTTCTGGTATTTTTCGTGTGTCTGTGTGCTTGATTAGAATAAAAATAGGAAATTGCTCTTCCTCCTTACATGACCTTTTAAATTGGATTAAAATTATCCATTTGATAAGAATCGTTGCTATTTTTATTCATTTTGGTTGCTTGTTTCAAAAACATTGCCTATTCATGGTGTAGTCAAAGCATAGCACGTTGAAATAAATTAGAATTTGAAATGAAATTCTAAAATAGCTCAGCGGGATGCTTTAAACTATGTCCATGTTGAAATTCGAAATATCTGACTCGTTGCCTTTTATTATACAAAAAAATAAAGGATTCCATCGTCCAAAACGCACCGACTTTATTCCAAAATATCACAACAAACATCATCCACACATGGCACACTACAATGCACATCGTCCAAAAATGCCACCACCAATATTTTGGGAGCGTCCATACTTTCCGAGCTGGGATTCAAACGTACATTATGCCAACTATCATACACAAGATGACAATTATTACGATGAGTACTACAATCATCGAGCGGCGCACAATGACTGTTGTCGCTATGACAGTGACACCAACATAAATATCAACAAGCCGAAATTAATGTCACCGCCACCTGCATCACCATCCAATTATGGTGCCTATTGTTCAAATCGTTTTTATACAAAACCAACACTCATCCAACAACAACAACAACAACACCAACATCAGCATCAACAGCAACCACACCAATGCTACTCATGCGAACGATCAACATCGTCAATTGCCATACCAAATGCGGCTACTTCACAATTCAATAAGGTGCAACGAACTAGATTTTCCGGTCGGAATGAGCTTTGGATTTTTTAGAATGATGCTTACTTTTTTTTGCCACTAGATCCGCATTGAGTTTACTTTTTTTTGCCCACGAACAACAATGTAATGTTCTGAGTGTAGTCACCACTAATTGGTCGAAAATTGCATGAAATTTACTTGAGTAGTTTAACACGAAAATTATACACATGTTCACAACCACAAATTGTGGACCACAACAAAGGTTCAAACAAATACCTTATACTTGGGTCCAATTGTCTAGGAGACATTGTCTACAGTCCCGATGATTAGCTGTGATTCAGATTAGCTTGACTCAGCACTGAGTTGTATGTTGTAGTTTGATTTTCGAATGTTTGATCTCAAAGCATTTCAAAAGAGATGATTTAGAAAATGATGTCACTAATCCCGTTTGTATCAACGAATCGACGAGAATGTGCTTGATGTAGAGCAAACGATTCAAAAATCATCGACAGTTTGAACATAGATTCGATGTTACCAACCGATTCAAGAATTGCCGAAAATGTTTTGCATGAAAAGTCCATCAATTTCATTTCTTTCGATGAAATTACGTAACAATACTTCCATTTTGAATTTGATTTCATTGTTGTATCTTCTAAATGTATGCGTACTAAAAAATGACTACCATCCAAAGCAAACGGGCAATCTAACGTAATTAGCCCGGCAGCAATAACATTAATTTGGTTAAGCCATAATGAAATTTTTCACATTGATAATAATATAAATTGATATTTTTACATGAATCAATTTTTGCAGCGTCAGTCCGAGGGTTCGGATGAACGGTTACGTCTTCTACAAAATGACAAGGAATTGTTGGCTCATCAAGTGCACATGCTCAGCGAACAGGTTTCCGCACAAAATGAAAAAATCAATGATTTGGAGCGATTGATAACCGACAAAGCACAGCATGTATCCACCACCGAAGATTTGCTGCAAAGAGTATGTAAAAAAAATTGAAATGGAAATTGTATTTTCTTGTGCCCCTCTTACGCCAGAGACGATACCAGAGATTGCATATTTGCTGCTGAGTAGGCCTGAGCTGAGCTGAATTTGCTAACTCAGGCGCCTGAAGCGTTATTTTAACGCATTCACAGTACAAAATTCATATTCCCAGCCAGATTTGCCAAGTCAAATTTGAGGCTGATCTGGCTGGGAATATGAATTTTGTACTCTGAATGCGTTAAAATAACGCTTCAGGCGCCTGAGTTAGCAAATTCAG